ACGAACAATATCCCTGATTTTAATAAACACCTATAAAAATCTTTCGTAGACTTCATATTTAATTATATTATATTAAATTAATTACCTTAAAAAGTAATTGTTTTAAAAGCACAACACTCGATCACTTTATGTAAAACAAATAACACATTAAATAACACTAATCCAATAAAACACAACACACACATACAAAATAATATTTTAGAAATTAATCGATTTAAAAACATCGGTACGGTACGTCGTCTCGCATTACGAATGTACAATCGTCTCGGATAAAAATCGAAATGCACGGGTATCACGTAGCGAAGCGTACGCGAGAATGAATACTCGACTTGCTCACTTGCTGTGTTGCCTACAGAACAGGGTGCTATTATCAAGTGTTGAGGAAAACGATTGAGAAGTGAGATCGAATAGAACCTGCGGGAGGTCTCGATTAATTAATCGTGTAACACGAGCCCTTTACACAATTTTTAATAATCCAAATTACCTGCACTATTTCGAATTTTGAATGAAACAACGGTACACTTTTACTTATGCATTGTCATCTGAGATCAGATTATCATCAACAGCGAGATCCGGGTAGGTCATGGTAATGATTGTGCAAATAATATGGCTGTTTGAACTTGATTTAAATGTCAGTTAACTTTTATAATACGCACTTTTACTGTTTAATTTATTTTACAAAATATTTCTAATACCGATACTCGTATTGAAATCCAAGTTAAATTAATCTGTCACTTTTTTTTAGTTACTTAGTTACTAGTAATTATTAGTAGTAGTAAGTACATAAACACTTAATTTTTCCTCACCATAGTTGTAGGTAACGCAATTATACATAGGTACTTTGCATCAGGTATCCTACATCATTAAACATAGCAATTTAGTAGGTAAACAAGAATTTTATCTCTGACATTTTAGTATTACTCATAAATTAAATATAACCATTACAATTCTAATTAACTTAGGAGGATATTAAAACTTATTTTTGGAACTTAAAGCGACATAATTACAGACAAATATGTAGTATCTGTATTGTAATTTTTAAGATAGTCAACGTAAAAGTTCTGAAATATGAGTTTTAATATGGATGTACATATAAAAAAGCGAAACTTTAAAATCAACTTACATAGGTTTGATGCAATTAACCCATAAAAAAACATTATCGCGGTAAAAATATATTTCAGGACTCGTTGTTTTATGAATTACATACCTGTATATTGTTTTGTTACTCAAAAATATGTTGACCTAAATATTGCATTTTACAAAAGACGCTAACCAGTGAACGAAGGTATCTATTATCAAATAAATCGCCCTTTAACATATACCAGAACATGATTGTACTAATACTAAACGACCGTGTACTGCTTATAACGGCCCACTACATATAATAAATCACATCATTGTGAGTCGGTTAGACAAGCAAACAATTCGTTTGTTTGTCAGTTACCAGTCAGTTCAACTAACGATCTGCTGCGGTTATGGCGCAAAAAACGACCCTAAACATTCGAACTATTTAATTTTTTGCCCACATCTTGAAAGGCGACGAAATGTCGATATGGGAGGCCTTTTGAAATTGTAATTAAATACTAAAAAGCCTTCTAATAGGGATAAATAATTTGTGTTGTTAATTTTTTCTTTTTAAATGCTAATAATAACATACTTCGGTCGATTGAAAAAGTAGTAAATAAATTATCTAACAATAAGTTATGTAGGTACCTACTAAAATCTGGCATTGACGACGGTCTTATTTTTCAATTTTCGAAAATAGACAACTTACAATTTCTGGACAATTATTTAAATGCATTAAGAGCTAAATAAAAAGTTAATCACACTATCAGATATTTTAATTTAATTATCATATTTTTTTATACTATATTATGCTTGTTAACAAAAATTAATAAGATCCTAATGTATATAAAATTACAAAATTTTTTGATTAATACGCTCCTTTTAATTCACTCTAAGAGAATATTTTCGTTCAAAAATATTGAAAATTAAGATGAATATATAAGAAAAATAATTTAAAATTGGAATAATTTTATACACATTGCAAAATGACAGACAAAAGGCTGTTTATAACAATAATACAATCAGTAATTTAATAATAAACCTAACGTCTTACATTTCCTAGCAGCCCATAAGCACAATAATCGCGAGGTCAACAACTTGAAACAATCAAAATATTACAACGAAATATACACATTGCTTTACATTATAGGGAGCTTTCACGCTGGCACATTTCGTTCAACACTTGCTCAAACAATGCTTACTTCCGATCTAATACAAACAAATGTTTAGGAATGTAGTTAGTATAGATTAAAACAAGGAATTATAATGAACACAAGCCGGAGTAAAGTTTGAAGTGACATTACGAGTACAGTTTAAATTTTTATATTGGATGCGGTATTTTTGGAGATATTTCAAAATTCTGTATTTTGGGAATTCTAATAGCTCAATCCGACGAGATTTGGACCCAAATATTAGCAGTCATGTCAAGGATTAATAATTATTGTAAATACTTAGATATCCTATGCACATCAAATACAAACTATTTATTACAGGTTTTATATTTATTATATCTATTATTTCCAATAGTATAAAAATATATCAGAGTAGCATAAAGAAATGTATTCCTTTTTTAAGCAAGTAAAATTCTCTTTATCTTTTCAACATGAAAATTTGTTTTAATTCACTGTTTGTGTTATGACTTTTTGGTGGAGTTTTAATATATCGAATAAATGTTTTTTGTCAAGATGGTCTTAGACAACAACAGTAGCAACAATAGAACGAATGTGGTATGAAATCGAAAGTGAATTTATGACTCCTAAGTCAACTTTCTATGACTCACCAAGTTTAGATTGAGGGCACTAGGTATATTTGTTTAAGGCTGAGTTTAAACAACGGTATTAAATACAAAGTTTCAAATAAACACAACACAACATCACTTTTAAATATTTTTGACAAAATCTATCAAAACAACTCTACAAATGTTCAATATAAAATTACACTCGCATATTCAATGCATTGATAGACAAACACAAAATCTCATTAAAGTAGATACATACACAGTATTTAAAAATTTCGAAACTATAATATGAAACTTTGCCCAGGTTTCAAGTTCAAATAAAATTTTGGCATTTGGTGAGAAGTAGTATTAGTATAAAACTGGTGAGGAAATTCTAATAATTCTACGACATATAACAAGACATAGGGTGACAATATTCTAGATTGATTATCTAAAATATCTTAGAGATATTTTAATATGACCTTGCCTTAAAATAAGACAACAACAAGCTTAGCAAAAAAATAGTCTCCCAAATTATTTTTCTTACAATATATTTTATAGCTCCATAGTGGGTGGCATTTTAAAAACTTACAATGCTCCAATCATAGTGAGTAAATTATGTTCGTAGTTACATTTATCGATTCGTTAGTCCATGTTTAACTACCTGTCAGCTTATCGAAGGGCTAACTTTACGACTCATTCTTGGCTCGCAAGGTAGATTTATGGCCAGCAACCATTTACTATGGGGCGCGTTTAACATCAACACTTTCTTCAAAATTGTAACAGGATTTATATGTCATAAATCACTTGTTATGTTGTTTCTTTATATACTTACCATTATTTCTTGAACTTGGATATGTTTATTATTATTATTATATGTATTCAATATTATATCGGATTCATGGCGGATGTGGTCGTCAGTTGTTACCACAACATCATCGAATTACCTATCACGAATACTATTAAATAAATATCCATTACAATAATATAAATTACTAGTCTTTACCCGCGACCTCGTCCCATAGTTAGGACATGTTAATTAATCGAGATTAAAAATAGTCCACGTCCTTCTCCGATACAAATAATATGTTTATTATACCAAATTTTTTGACGGATGATTGTACTTTTATACTTATACTTAATTTTTAAGTCTTGCACATACGTAGCTTTCCTTCACTAGATTTACCGATGATCATCTCCTGTTTTATTAAAAGAAAAAAAGAACACATTCCACCATATAGCAGAAAGATGTAGCTTCGAATGCCATTAAATCTGTCAAACTATTGGAAGGACGTGGCTGAATTCCAGGTATATTTATCCTGTCTTTTCATTGTCAGCTATCATCTCTCATTGGTGCCCCGCCAGCGTATATCGTTAGCGCGTGCGGGGTTACCATTCTATTACCATCCATTAAACAAAAAAACTATTAGAAGGTGAATTTTTTAACCAATTATTTGTTTAAAAAAGTAACTTTTTTATATTTGGATAAAGCAATACAGGAAACAAATAAAGTAAGCCATTGAATACAAGTGCTCATGATAAGATTCGGGTTTGTGGGCTATCATCGTGCCGTCCGCATTCGGTGCGCACGTATGTTTTGTTGATATGAGCCGATATCTATTTCTGGTAATCAAAATATGCCTTGGTTGCTTTCTTTTTCCTTCACAATAACATTAAAATATATCCTAATAATTATATTTATTTTTAAAACGTGATATGTATTATGAATAGTAATAAAGTCAGAATGTGGAATAAAAGTTCACAAAGTTTTAAAATTAGTTTTTATAGTCAGAAATATTTTAAAACTAAATACAATATACATACGAGTAATGTTGCTATGTTGAGTCAAAAACTAGAGATACGAGAACTGCTACATAGTCAAGCGTGCGTAAAGCTAATATCAATTCCACTCGATTTTCGTTTCAATGGCTTAGAGATCATCGTAGAACCTAGGTCAAAATGGGTTGTATAGGTCTAGCAGCTCCATTATTTGCAATATACCCTGTCAGGACTACTTCCGCATGATCCCCTTTAGAAATCATCGTGGTAAATTTCAGATGAATTCTTTACGATGAGCTAACTGACGTGACTTCATCTTTGCTTCGTCATTATTCACTACTAGTACAACTATTCCAATAATCCTAGGCTGTGGTAATAAATGGCTGCGAAAAGTAATAGTAATAACAATATAAATAAAACGTAATTTTAAATAACTTACCATTTGCTGAGGGTTCCTTGGTTTCCGGTGAGCTCGAGGCACCTTCAAGCCAGTGACGCCTTCCAGCACGTCGGCGAGAAGCAACCCGTCAGCACAGTCCCGGGCTAGTCCGCCACCCGATGCGCCCGCGCGTCTCCTGGACCGCGCCCGCTCCAGATAATGGTTCGCCCAATCTGTGTAGATCTGTGGACCAAAGTGTAAAGAATAATGTTATTAATTAATAGAAAAATAAGAAATAAAATATGTACCCGAAGTCAGTATGAATCACAATAGAAACAAAATTTTATGTATGATAAAGGAATGATAACCCCGCCTGTACTATCAGTATGTTGACTGGAGGCCAGGAAGCGATGTCAAGTGAAAATTAAGTCAGGCAGATGGTTCACCCAGGCGAATTCATCAGGACTTAATAAAGTAGGTATATTGCTAGCAATAGAAACATTTTGACTAGCAATATAGATTCAACATACTTTCAAAAATTTAAGAAAATAATAACGGGGCAGCACAGGAATAAACAATTTCGATTAAGAAAATTATAATAAAATAGGTTCAGAATTGGCGATGCTTTGCCTTTTGAAGTTGATTGATAAAGTGTCTCTCTATGATTTAAACTGGTGTACTCAAATATTATTCACTAAATCCGAATAGACAAAGTCATTGACCGGATGACATCTTTTAAGACGCGATGCAAAAAATAATAAATGAATAAATGATATGAGTGTCACTGTTGGTCAAATAAAATGTTAAATAGGTTCTTACTACTTAAGCACTTCATGGTTAAACTATAATACAAACAGTACTAATTAATATATACTGTCATTCATACCAATGCAATTCTTTATACTGTGCTAATATTATATGTATACCATACATATAAGTAATACATATAAGTTTATTAAGTTATAGTAATATAGTGTTTCTTGTTTTGGCACACACGTAATATTTGGAATAAAGAAGGATATAGAATATTGTTTATTATGTTTGATCAATGTCATAAGTATATTTAAGGGGAGGGGGGGGGGCATGCCTTACCCAGAATTGTCTGGTGCTCATTTGGAAGTTGGAAATCTTCAACTCGTACTCGCTCCATTTTTTGAATTTATTGCAAAATCATTAGTCATGCTTATAACTTTGTACACCTACTGATTACTTTTAAGCCTACATAAAAGTTTTAACATACTAGATCGCATTAAAATTTATAAGTAGGTATATCAGTTCATCTACAGCTCATCAACTCCAATATTGGCTAATGAGGTGAAGATAAGGTGACTAAAGACGAGAAATTACCACTAAAAAAATTTTATGACAGTTCCTTGCAAGGCACTTTTATACAATTTTTACAACATTGAAAAAGGATCGTGAGAGAATTTAAGCGATGATAAGCTGACTCATATTCACTTTACCTCAAGCATCTTAACTCGTTAAATGAAATTCAGGCTTGTAAAAGTTTAGTAACATTGATGCTATTACAAAATATATTTTATTAATTAATTTAAAAACAAGTGCACTTTTTCGTGTTACTGTGGTGGCAAACAAGCATATGACTCGTCTGATAGTAAACGGGATTACCTAACAGCAATCAATAAGATTAGGTTTTTGCTCATCAAAATCAATTGAAATAACTCACATGACATAGTTAAAAAATATTAAAAGTGTATGAATAACTACGATATTTTCTACATTTTTTATGTTAAAAAATATTAAAAGACAAAAAAAAGTACAAACTATTAATTTGATTTTGATTTACTAACTATATAGAGATGAATGTAAAATGTAAAACTACTACGTTGGGAGAACCACATTACTATTCGTCTAATGTAAATAAATATTAAATAATACATCTGATCTCACACTTGATTTGTAATATGGGGCTTCTTGGTGCTATTCGTTGTTAGTACTAGATGAAAGATTTAATACCTACATCCCAAATACTTCCAATTTCAATACATAATTAATTAAGTAAATCTTATTTAATTCACTGTGTACTTAAATTATTTTTCTGGAAGCATAAGCCATAAATACAAACATGCAAAACCAAGTTACATTTATGTTGCGCTATTAATCGTTTTCACATTTGTGATACATAAATCATTAATAGTATAAAATATAAGAAGAATACTATTTCGCTTGTATGTATATTCATAATGGATTAAGTCATATGGGATTTAATTTGTAGAAAAATGAGGGCAAGTGGATGGCGACAGTCGGCCGCCGGTTCAGAGGCGCTCAGACGTGCGAAGGACTACATCATTACATTACCTATGTATGTATGTGTAGTATTCTAGTAATACTGAATAATGGATTTAGAATGCTAACATATGGATGACTAATGGACATCTTTACAAATAAATAACTTATTTTTTTATATTCTGTATAATAATTTTAGTTATTTATGGTATGCCAATAATACCACTGAGAATACAAAAAATACAATTCATTTAACCCAAATTATGCACTAATTTGTTATTATCCAATAATTTCCACTAAATGAACTGAAATATAAAAAAAAATATACGAGAATATTTTCGTATATTTTTTATGCAACTTATTATATATTATATAGAATGGTAAATTACTCGTAACTGACGGCCAACTTAATGGAAAGTGATAACTGTCACGTATAGATATGACTTATATATGTACACGGTGCTGCATGGGCGATACATACTCTGTTATCAGATTATACTCTGTTACCCATGATACCCCTTATGCGTACATATACTCGTACTCCTAAACCTGAAATTTCATATTAACGGTATATAATCAATTCAACTGAGGTACTGTCCTGTGATTACTACCCATTTCATTTTATTTTATTTCGGGGCAATTTTGAGTGAATCAAGGATTTTCTTTATATATCTTTTAAGCTATTATTTTTATTGAAAACTATTAATTTATTTATACATATTCTTACGTCTATATTGAGTTTAAATCCCAAAATAGATAACGACTACAATCTATTCTATCTATACATTAGGTACACATATGAATGTCTTAATTCATCCAATTACATAACTCGCTTCATGCGTATAGAATTGCATGATATAAATGTACAAAGGAAACCTTTTTGTAATCTGTAAAATCTAACTATGAATAAAATTTTACAAACATTGGAAGTATCTCTATCAAATTTTATAGTTAGCCCGCAAGGATAAATCTAAGATATAGTTTAACGGTTTGAGAGACATAGTGCGGGTTTTATCTGGTATTAAATATTTTATTACTATTAGGAATTTTCCTACATTGCTAGATCCCTAACTGAGTAGGCAGAGTTTTATTGGTTGAGAAAATGCCACTTGTTGCTAACAAAGCGCTCCAAAGACAAAAATTTCTAAGAACCTAAAAAAATTTGCCTAGTTTAAATCAAAATTTCTATACAACATGATATATCTGTATCAATTCTTAACAGATTTTTATATATTCTTTTATTCTTTTATTGTTGCAGTTTATTTTCTAAATAACTAAAATCGTTTTTTATTGAAATTAAATCTTAATTCGTGCTAAATACAAGAAAGCTTTATTAAACTTATCTCCATTATTCATATTTATTATCTTGAATAAACTTATTTTCATACTATTTTTTCTAATTTGTCTTTAAAATTTATCAGTAAAATTAAATTGTTAAAATTTTAATACAATTTTTAACTAATAAGTTTTAATTATCAAACAACACAAGACTTATTTAATATAAGAAAAGTCTGCTACATTGATATGAACAATGAATGGATCTCTTTGGCCATCCCGTTACTACCTACCTATTAACCTTAATTTCTCAGAGATATTAATAATATAGACTTGACAGTATCGTATGGAGGCGGATAACTGTTAGTTAGACTATCACAATTGTTTTCATACTAATTTGATAAATAATTAATGAATAATATAAGTATCTAGTCATAATGACTTTTTGAAGCAACTTCTAAAAGAAGGTAATTCTTAATTTGTCTGATTTTTTTGTGACTATGATACGCGATTATATCGCGAATAATTCTGAACTGATTATCATAAACAACTGATTTTATTTGCAGAGTAAAGAACTCTTTGTTATGTAAAAAATATAGGTACACTTTCTCGTCTTAAATGCAATTATTGGCGCTTTTTGAGTAGAAAAATGTACTTATTTTTCAACAGCATAACTTGGTATTCAAGTAATATCTATTCTTATACTCTTAACTCAATTATTTGAGGTTGGTGTATACAAAAACAACACTATATTAAATGTATTTTACTATTTTTCGAAGAGGGAAACCTCTTCTTGAATTATATTTCCTTGCTCCTTTATTCTAAACAAACCTCCATCTATCCCTATTCAGACAATATCGTTGAATCAGGTATAGATTACACACGGTTACTTATATTATAAAAGGGTGGAAGTCTGTCATAAATCAATATGCAGCGATCGTATCTAATAATCGAACATGTTAATAGAATAATCATGACGTCAGTGGTATTAGAAGTGTCCGAGATAAGTATAGTACTTCATCTCAATTCGTCGTTTTATCTGTTCCTATCACACAGCTGTTTATTCAAATCGGCATCAAATAGCTTTCGATTATAATAAATCTTTTGGGCTGGACATTTTTATCGCTCTATAACAACTGAGTATAAAGAGAATACGGTACATCACTGTTCGAAATGGGGACAACATATATGCTGACAATAGGATTATTTTGAATAGAATTCCTAGTAAAATTGAATATAAAAAAAATATGAACACGTATCTTCGTTATAATAATTATGGGTCAACAACGATATGAATTAACGATACCTATTAATTAAAAATTTCCGAGATAATTAAATAAAAAGCTCTTTCTATGAAACTTATATTTTTCTTAATAGGACTAGACCTTAATTAGATTATTATTGTTTATATTATATATATTTATATATAGCTATGGTACACAGACGAAAGGAAAAAAATGTTTCTTCTTTTATATATTTATTTTAATATATGTTTTCTTTTGTGTATGTCTATGTTTGTTATGATTTGTGTATTGTCTGCGACACAGTCTCTTTGTGACTAATGCAGTTATTATCGAACCTACAAAAACTGTAAATTAAGCTAAGGATCCCAAATAAACATTTTTTTTTGTTTCTTTTTTTTTTATTGTAAGTAATGCAAATAAGTTATATATCTATGTATATTGTATAGTATGTATATTATATATTTATTTATTCCACTATATTTTTATATGTCACTATACAGTAACTTTTATTCTAATACTGAATCAATTTTAACGATTAATATTCACAATAATAATAAGAATTTCTCAACAATCATCTCTTATAATCAAATTCTCATTAACGCGTTTTATAAGTCAACACCATGGCTATAAATAATATACCACTGTACACTGAATTTAGCAACCAAATAATTAATTAAGTCGGCCATGAATATTCCAGATTCAGCGTGATATTATATTATACTCGTAACAGGGAGGCGTATTTACAATGAACAAATATAATTTTCGCTTACAATGCACCCATACATGAGGTAGTCCCGATGAGAGTTCGGCCAAACAAACAAATCAACTTTGGTCGGTATACTGTTTTTGCACGATAAAATGCATAATAATACCTTTTAAAATATTTCTGATGTTTTCAAAGAGCTACGAGTGTCAGTATATTTTTTTGTGTTATTAGATTTTGCTGTAGGTACTAAAAATAATGATTTCAATTGAGAATTAATATTGACTTAGTGATTACTTAGTAAACAAAATGTTCTATAGACAAATTAAATTTAAATTATTTCAATATAACATACAATATTGTGTATATATGTAAACCGATCAGCACCCAATCTGCTAACAACTGATAAACTGCTAAACACTAGTTTCCGAACAGCTGTCTATTAATTTATCTGAAGATACTTCGTTTAGAAGTAAAACACGTGTCGCAAAACGTGCGTGGTCTGAAAGGCAGTCCGAGATTGGGGGCTAATATGGAAGATTATAGAACTTCTGATAATGAAATAGTATAATATAGTATTGGCAGTTGGCAATAATTGACTTGTCTGTCTAATCACTTGGAAAAAAAAAATTATATATCTTTACTGAAAAATAAATTTACTGTAACAAACAACAGCGCAATAATTATAATATAAAAAAACAAACACAGAAAATAAAAAATGAAAACAAGCTTATAACAGTTTAATGCCGTGACTCGCTACGCTAGTAACATTGATTTCTTTATTTAGCAATTGTTGGTACCATTTAAATAATTAACAACATTAAATACAATGTCGACCAATGAAGTCACTTGCCTGAATTCGACCTCTACTGACTCTGCGAGATTCATTTGAAGTGTAATTTGAGTATCACAGCAATTAAATGGATCATTTAAATTTCTGGAGATAGCGTCATATACATTTTTATTTTTACTAAAAGCAGATATTGTGAATAAAATTAAAATTAGTAAGTCGATTTGTAGATTTTTACTAGTACTTGATCATCTATAGTGTTTAGTAGTGTAGTAGTATTCGATTCGACAATACTAGACTCCGGAGTTCTCGGGGAAGTCCTCTGGGAATCCCAAGATCAAATCCTAGCCTCTATAGATACTAAACCTCTGTTTTCATAGATTCATTTCAAGATCACTTAAAACATATTAATTGTTTCTTGCTTTGTTCTTCAGATGACACGTAAAGACGGCTAAATAACTCTTGATATTAGCATGCAACACCCACATACGAGCAATAATAAATAAATTAAAAAGTAAGTACTCAGGTATAAACAAAATCATGACAAAATACAGGTCAAGGAAACTATAGGGTAATTTTATGGCATCAACAATGATAGCTACTACTACTGGCCTATTTTTTCATCACTGCAACATACCTCCACAGATTATACGTTTAATGGTAAACATTGGTTCTGAAGTTACCTACAAATATAAAACACTTGTTGTTTGTTTTTAATAGAATTAATAATTAATATATTACATTAAAGTGATCAGTAAGTAACATTTAAAGTACTGGTTAAGATTAACAGAATAAAAATTCTTGACAAAATTTCATAAAAATTGTATATATAATTTTTTTTAAATATATAATTTTTCAAATATATATATACATTTCAAAAATCCTATATATATATATATATATATATATATATATATATATATATATATATATATATATATATATATATATATATATATATATATATATATATATATATATATATATATATATATATACATTTAAAAAATTTAAAAAAGAATGAGTGTCAAAGTTAGTATACAACTGTTCAATGTCACTTTCGTACAATTGACAAGAGAAAAGGTGTTAATATCAATCATTTGTGTAGAAATATAAATAAATAAAATCACGATTTGTTTAATTATAAAATGGAAGTCTTTTTTAAATCTGTTTTTTTTTCAAAGCTTTTTCTATAAAAATTACCTAAATGCCTGTGTTCTACATGATTTCAAAATTTTCAAATATTGCTTTTAAAAAATGCAAACTAAACCTTAGTAGAGTCCAAGAGTAACATTATTTACTGCGTTGCATAATGCAGTCACTCACGAAAACAGTGGAATATTAGATGGAAATCTAAAAGCGTTAAGCACGGAAACTGAACGAGGTCGCGTAGCTTTTAATATCTTTGGGCGGGAAATGTTAGGCAGTTGAGAGAAGTTTCCACTACGCAAAGCTACTCATGAAAGTGGAAAAAAGTTTCTATTATTATACAATGAAATATACACTGATTTTAAAGTATTATTTTTATTAATTTCAAGATTGGTTTACTTTTAATTTACTATAATAATTAAAATGTAAAACAATCACGAATCTAAAATATAATAAAAAAAAGTAATGATAAGCTATGGATGTAACAAAGTATCTTTAAGAAGTATTTAACGCTACTTACCAGTCAGTTGCCGTCTCGAAAATTTATCCTAAAATTATAGATTGTTCGTCGGTAATTATAGAAAAGTCCATTTATTTGTACTTACAGCAAGCTCAGTACTTACTTACTTTCAACACTTACATATTTTGTACAGGTCATAAATAATAATCATATTTTAGACATATATATATATATATATATATATATATATATATATATATATATATATATATATATCCTAAAAAAATATAATATATCAACACAACTTACACACAATTTATAGTTTAATTTTTAGGTTAGACACTAAATGACATTACAAAAATTTGAAACATCCGTTCAATTATTCGCACGATGAATACTAACAAACTAAAATATATTCTTGTATGAAATATAACATTTTATTAAATTATTACCATTATCTTTGTAAATAAATACATTACCTGGACAATAGATCGAGTCTGGCGTGTGACATCATCAGTAGAACCTTGAATAGAACGTGGAGCTCTTATACAAGTCGGTATCATGTTGTTACAAACTCACAAACACAAATTTACACAAATTCAATGATTCCATTGTAAAATAAATTGTCCGTTTACAACGCCATAATTGAACACTTTTTGTTTAATATATTCACTATCTGCAGTTGCGAGATATCTGGGCAACGTATACATAGAAGAAGTTAGTATAGTGTATATTTTTGTTATGTATTTACTACTCTAACATTAACCCTACGCGTCCTAAATTTGAGTAAGCCAGTCGTATTTTATTTTTACACTTTCCACTATGTTTATAGAAGTTGCGATGACAAAATGAAGGGAATGAATACTGACCAAATTATCGCGAGCTGTTGGGCGGTTAACGCGTTTATTTGAATAGAGGAAATAAAGATTTGCCAATCATGCGTCACAGTTCATGAATGAATGGATACGTCCCGTAGGACTAGGATAAACTTCTGACAATATTTTACTGTAGCGAGCGGCGCCACCGCCTACGCCCGTGTCACGACCGCCTCTTGACGAGACTACTCCCAGGTCGTATATAACGAGCGAGATACCAGAATAGACCTGTCGAGTACTTTCATTCAAATTGGATAGCACCTCTAATTTGTTAATTACCAGGTGGTCTACGTGGCCTACTGTTCTAATTTGCACCACTATTTATTTTGAGTCTTTATAAAAAATATATTTAACATGACCAATTAAAATAATAGTAGACACTATATAAATATTGTCATTTGTGTTAAAGTTAGCTAGGAACTTTTATTTATTTGTTCATTTAACACTTTGTTGCACCAATGTAGCAAGACTTATCGAAAGATTTTCAATAAACACAGTGTAGTACAAAAGGCGGTCTTATTGCTAAGCAATCTCTTCCAGACATCTTTTAACTTTCCTTTGTTAGTAATAATAAAATTAGAATTAGTATAAAAGCATCCCACCTATGTATTTGTTCAGAATATAGCCTATTTATGTACTAAATTTTATCCAATCAGTTTAACAGATGAATAATAAATACCCAAACGTGTTTACAAACATTCACTATTAGATTTAAGAGTGACTAACTACTAAGAATTATATCCTTATTTTTTATGTTAGTTGTGATTACGACTACTATTATGAATAAATAAATATAAAAATTATAATATTAACATTTTTGACATAACAATGAACGTATTTTTTTTAATGTGTGAAAATGGAATGGTACCCAACCCGCACTATCGGTATACACTGGCGGGGCATCGGTGAAGGATGATAAGTAGATCAGTTAGCCCATCGTGACGAATTCAAGAAGAATTGTTCACGATGGTTTCCAGGGGGAACCACGTGAAGGTCGATCTAATATAGGGCATATTGCTAGCAATGGGAATGTCAAACTCCATTACTAACAATCCCTTTCCCCCCACAATGAACGTATTACAAAAATGCTATTGCTTACTCCTACATCAGATGTGTGGAGATTAAAATGCCGAGATTAAAGAGTGAAGTCGCGGCATAGCTTAAAACTCAAACGTGACTATATATATTAAAATCGATAGCTATATGTGATATTTCAAATAGATCTCCATAATAACATTGTTGCGTAGGCGCCTTAGAAACCACTACATTGAAATTAAATAGTATATTGCATGCATTTGTTTGAAACAATGAATGCGTCCCGTTTAGTGGGAGGATCTGTTAATACCTATTACTTTTGTCTTTATGCATATAAGGGCCCGAGGTCAAATGCTCTAATGTTTTTTACAGAAAGATATCGGAAGAGACGGAAAACAAACGTGCAATATGTGTCACACATTCACGATTGTATGGAAATAAGAAGAAAGCTACGAGTATATCTAAATACAACCTCACAGCTTTGCTTGTCTACAATATAACTAACATGACAAATCTATGTACAGATTTGATATGCCAATAAGTCAAATTCATTTAAATGAAATTTGTTTCTGATACATGATTTTTTTATTAAAAGAAATTGTTATGTATCGTGAATTTGTTTCTTTTTTTTTTAACAAAAAATATTTATCAATAAACTAATTCTAATTTTAATACTGGATTTATTACCTACACAAATAATTAATTAATCTAAAATCACTCTTTTATCTTAATTAACCACAAAAATAAAGAAATACAAATAAAAAAAAATAATTAAACGCAAATTTAAATAAAAATATTCTAAAACAATATACTAAAATCGTAAAGTAATTGTGGTCAAACTAAATATATATTTTCCTAAGAAATCCTACCATTAGTAAACCACGAAGCAACTAAGTGTCTTTTCTATAAATAATTGCGGTTGCGGTTTAATGGAAAGTTAACGGTAAACAAATTGTATTATTAATAATGAATGAAACAAATAATATATTTGTTTCATTCATTATTAATAATACAACCCACACATTACAAATTAGATCGACACCGTAGGATGTAGTAGCGAAAACATAGAGAAGTCTTTATTAGTATTATTATAATACTATAAAATACATATTATTATTAGTTACTAAATATAATAACTTCTAAATAATAAGACAAAGTATTATTATTATTTAATAATCTGTTTAACCCTACTAAAATTACAAATTGTAAAACTTTGTGAAAACATTTGGATATAACCTAATTAGTCAAGCAAAATTATGATAAAACAAATTGACCTATCTATTGTATGAAGCCACATAGAATGTAGAGATCTTCGTAAACTAGATAGTTAACTAAAATATATATAGGTAAATGTATAGATATAAAAACTGAATAAATAATTATATTCATTATCAACTGCCAGAGGCACCCATCTAATTTTGGCTTAAATAACTTACATATATACTTGTAAAATAGGCATGTAGGTAATATAGAAATTGATTAGCTTGGGTAGAAAAAATTAACTGTAAATTATTCGTATTCATTATGTTACGTAATCACTGAATTTTCAATCAGTCTGATTGAAAGCCATTCGATATGCCACCTACATCCACCCACACGAAAGTATTAAATTCAAAGAGGATAATATTAACTAAAATTAACTTATATTGCACAAGAATGTAATGTGAATGTTTTGATGTTATAATCCCATACTTTTTTATTAGTTTACCTGATAGACCATGTCCCGTACTATTATCATTTTCCCCCTTAAAAATATATATAATCGAACTATTAGATATATTTACAAAATATTCTCAAATACCTCTATTCGTTCTAAAGAGAATGCGTATTCCAACGAACAATTATTATTTTTTTATTAATATAGATTATTTTTACGTAGTTTGTAAAAAATCGTCCAGCATTTTATTAAAAATTTAATTACGTTTAATTATATATATATGTAAAATTTTTGTGAATTTTTCATGCTCTATTTTTTCACTGAAACCTAATATTATTACGTAGACATTTTATAGCACCTGTCACCAATACTAATTCATATTTTTTCCGTATGACGCCTTAATTTTTTTACTCTTATGATCTCGACATGTGCGCACACTGTAGACGAGTATAAGAAGAAAATGGTCAATCAAAGCGAACAACCAAAACTTCACTTCGGGAACTTCATTAATTTACTGTTATTTAATACTAGCTGTATCCCGCAACTCTACTTGCGTGAATCAGTACGTGCGTGAAATAATAATAAACATCCTTCCATCTATTGTTACCAACTTTAGTATTTATTATATTAATAGAATTTTACATTTTCTAAAAAAATAGCTAACTAGCCACAAACTACTAGATATAGTCTTTCACCACAGCGTAATTAAGACAGAACGGGAGCAACGAAAATAGTAGAAAAGAGGACACATCACGTTTCCAGCACCTCTTTGAAGTTCGACGTTTGAAATTTCATAAAGCAATAAAACTGTCGTCAGTTCAGAATGATATCTCCAAGAAATCTCACACGATTAGTATGGACATCCGATCCACAACAAAACCTTATATTCTAAATCAATCTACAGATCTATTTTTATTAGTAGGTACAAATACAAACACTTGTACCAGTAACTCTATAACATACATTTCAAATTTACAGATAAATTTAACAATGAAATTAGTGATTTATTTATACTTGACATACATTTTCAATGACACAAAAATATAATAAAAATAATTTGCATAAATATTAAAATTTATAATTTTTTTTTTATTTCGAGATACATATATGTATTTAGGCATCCCATCTATTTGGCACAAGTAGCGAAATACTAATTATTTGAAAATTGGATGCATTATTAGGGGACATATAGTGGCTAAGTAGGAGAGACAGCTTAAGACTGCTACTGAAATAAGATAGTGGATATTTGTCACTCGATCATTATTAAAAGACTGAACGTCTTTTAGAGAAATTCGGGACACGTATAGGTCACGTTCTGGATTGACATATAATATTTTAAGCTTGATTTACACAAGCAAACCTGATACATGCAGTAATATATATTTTATTTTTTATGTGACATGTACAAGTTGAATTAGAAGTAGTTTTTATATGTCATCTTTGTTTATAAAAACAGACAATTGTGCATTATATACTTCGCTTTCTAATAAATAGCATTTAATTCTTAAAATTTTCTATAACACAATACTTCTTTTTATAGGATATCGTATTTTCTGTTGGAATACGTCCAAGTCCATTTTGATCTTTTGTTAGCTTCTTTCTGCGGGAGTTTTGTATGTCAGTCACATAATATTCTGCAACGTCGTGTAAACGATTCTGACAACTATTTATTTTACTTTTTTCATGATCCTGCGGCGTATTACATGTATTTTAAATTATCCAGTCACATCGTATGCTTATCTAAATAGTTTGCTTATGATCGTTGAAGACTTGCAAAAACAAATAAAGCTTTTATCTTTTAACAAACTTGTAACTAAATGATATATGTACATGGAAGATATTTAAGAAAAATTGATATGAGCGGTCTTAATAAGAATAATAGAGACCAACACAATAATCTTTAAAAAATCTATTTACTTATATGCATGTTTATTCCGGCATCACGTAAAAACTGCTGCACAAAAATATATGCGGTTTTCACAGTTATATTCCTAGAGGTCTAACTCGGGTATATTTTGTTTTGATACACTATCTTAAAAGTAGTAAATTTTATTGATTTTAATATTTCAGAAATCCACGCGTATGAAAAAGCAAGCAAATAAGTAATATTGAATAACAATATGACATTTCATTACAAATTACTTCGGTACACCATTATTATGTAGTCTATGGAAACCTACAAATTCCGACGGATCTGTGAAGTGCATACCGTGCAGATGTTTTATCTCATAATTTCTAAATAATCACGTGTGTTTCTCAATATGAATTTAATTTTTTGATATTCATGGAAAATAATTATTTAAATAAAGTAAATATGTATAACATTATTGTAACAGAAATTAATTGATACCAATAAAACTGAGAGATAACACTAAAAAATGTAATATGAAACGGTACAAATAAAAAAAAAGATATAATCACTATGCAAATTATTGTTAAATTTACAACACAAACAAATTTTATCGTTTAATCGTCGCGGCACTGTGCAGTAAAAGTGATAAAACCTTCTCTCGCCCCATATGAATATTTAAAAAGAGAATAAAGCGAACAGTCGACAAAAAGATAATTAAAAGTTTACAATTCGTTTGTTGATGTTTCTATCCACGGTCCAGAAATTGCGTAAGCTCATGTAAAACCCATAAAGAGATATTACGGTTGCAGCGTCTGCGCTGGCCACATCCGATGCGGTGCGCGTGCGCCGCTGTTTATTTACACGGTTGTCAAAAGTTCGACACACGCGTGTATAAATAACCACGCGGAAGGTGCGCCTGCACTCCGGAGCAACGAACTTTTGTGACATAATCATAAAACAGCCATTTACAGCAACAATGTGAAATGATCCGTTAAAAGAAAACATGGCTACCGCAGTCGCAGTCTCCCAAGACAGATCATGAGTTTAAATTTGACCGACACCAAATCATTATGTACGACTAATTAATACATTTTAAAATTTCAATAGTAAACATTTTTAATAAGCCTAATAATATCGAAATACAGCAGATGTATTTTTCACCAAAGGTAGCTAAGTTGATTCGAATAAAAGTTTATTATGATCGAAGAAATGTAGGTCAACGCATCATTGACTAGCCACTATTCGGAAAGGTTCAGGTTTACCGCAAGTAAAAGTGGTAAAACTGCCATTACTATTGACGTGTACCTTCGCACGCTTATATATGCATAGTAGAAGAAAAGTAACTATTTGTTAAGGGGTCAAACAGCCTTATTAGACTAATTGACCTGATTTCATTTTGTACTGATAGCGTATAGCTAGGGCTAGCATTCCATTATTAATTAGCTCTTAAAAAATACTTTCCATAGTTTATTTTTCATTGTAGGATTGACACCTGTTCAGGTTTTATTATCCACAAGGAATGCAACTAAATAAATGTTTCTATATGTATCCACCGGTTATTTCCAAACAAGAATCTTCTCTATATGTAAATTACAAAAATTAAATACATTCAGCTACAAGCATAAATCCATTTACAAATTTTTACATTTATAATACGAGTATTTGTGATTTAATCAATCCGACACTAAAATTTGTTTCCTTATTGGAACGAATACTTCTCAAAAGGATGTAACGTGGTAGCCTTGGATGTACTCGTATGTAGGGCATCGTTGAACGTACCATATAATACTACCAACCTATTGTTACGTGGGCGAGCATTGCAGTTTCGCGGCTTACCTTTAAAGTGGCAGGTAAGATTTGTACCTTCGATAGCAATTATTGTATAAGCACTAAGTAAGATTATTTTGTAATCTGTTCCCTTTTGACTTTAAATTATGATTTAGATATTTTTATTATTTACCATAGTACGACACGACATCATACGATTTTATCGTGACGATTTATAAACAGAATATATAGAATTGTATGGAAACGCTTTTAATTTTCAGCGACGATATCATGGTTGTCATACTATGCAAATGGTTTATCGTGACCTTAAATGCTTTTTTAATTTCCTGTATTAAATTCAGTATTATATTATATGAATGCCAAATCTATA